AGGTGTGTATTTTGTTTTTTTACAAGAAGCTGGTAAATTTATGCCTTCCTTCTCCCCTCTTAGTTAGGCACAATTGAACTCCCTGCAGTTTGGCTTATATTGTTTTCACTAGCTGTGAACAGAGATCTGATTTTTCTCAACAATGAACTCAATAATTCATCGGTCTATTTGTGGATGTTTAGCAGATTGTATCACTGTATTCTTTACTAACCATGCAGTACAGCACAAGTGTCCTTTCACACCTATGCATTCTCACTCAGACTGATTCAGTTCTACTACTCCCCCCCAAGCTTGCTACATAACTGCTTCACCATGCAGTTGTTTAAATAGCTAATTAGATAATTTATGTCATATACACCAGTCTTCAATAAATGCTGTTTCAATAAAATACTACTCTTCAGTGTTCATCTATGTAGTCCTTATTGATGCTAATGGTCACCGATCAGTTTTAATCAGTGGTGTTTTTGCACATCTCAGTTTTTGGGAAAACCATTGCAAACCTGTTATGGCAGGTGTTCACAGCTGCTTGTTATGAACCTCACATCTGATTGCTATCTTTAGACATGGTAGGTTTGATAGTTGAACATGTTTGCAGTAACATTTGCACCATCTTTTCTCTTGACACTTCTCAAAATTGTTCAGAATGTGCATGCATCTCTTCTGTAGTCTGTGAAGCTGGAGCCAGTGTAGGAAAAAACATGCTGACCAAACATAAAAAGGAACAGGAAAAAGTAAATTGTGAAATCCGGCACCCTAGTCCACGGGTTCCCAGAGCTTTTGAGACCTTGGGTACCTCTGGGCACAGTCACAGAATGGCTGCCACAAGAGGTAGAGCCAGCCATACAATGGCTGCCTCAGCTTATCTTCAGTCACGCGTTGAAGATCCTTGTGCTGTGGTGGCAGCTGCTGCCAAAGCAATGTTTTTAAAAATCTGCACAGTCAAGCAACTCTCCAGTGACCAATTAGAAGCCTTGAGGGGCAAAAGACCCACCTGGTCCCATTCACTTTCTAAAAGCACTTTGTGGGCACCAGAATTTTTTTTGGGTGCCATGGCACTCATTGGCACCCAGTTGGGGACCCCTGCCCATGTCAGATGACTTCCATTTTGTTGTTCAGTCGCACAGTCGAGTCCAACTCTTCGCGACCCCATGGACCAGCTCCCACCAGGCCCTCCTGTCTTCCGCCGTCCTCTGAAGTTTGCTCAGTTTCATGTTCGTTGCATCGATGACACTGTCTAACCATCTCATCCTTTGCCGTCCCCGTCTTCTTTGACTTTCAATCTTTCCCAGCATCAGGGTCTTCTCCAGTGAGTGCTCCCTTCTCATTTGGTGGCCAAAGTATTTGAGCTTCAGTTTCATTATCTGGCCTTCTAGGGAACAGTCAGGGTTGATTTCTTTTAGGATTGGCTGATTTGATCTTCTTGCAGTCCACGGGACTCTCAAGAGTCTTCTCCAGCACCATAGTTCAAAAGAATCTATTCTTCGGCGCTCGGCCTTCCTTATAGTCCAACTCTCGCAGCCATACATGACTACTGGGAATACTATTGCTTTGACCATGCGAACTTTTGTTGGCAGGGTGATGTCTCTACTTTTTATCATGCTGTTTAGGTTCGCCATCACTTTCCTCCCAAGGAGCAGGCGTCTTTTAATTTCATGGCTGCTGTCACTGTCTGTGGTGATCTGGGATCCCAGGAACGTGAAGTCTGTCACTACTTCCACGACGTCCCCTTCTATTTGCCAAGGAGTGATGGGGCCGGATGCCATGATCTTAGTTTTTTTGATGTTGAGCTTCAAGCCCACTTTTGCGCTCTCCTCTTTTACCCTGAGCAAGAGGCTCTTAAGGTCCTCTTCACTTTCTGCCATTAGAGTGGTATCGTCTGCATATCTGAGGTTGTTGATCTTTTCCCCAGCAATCTTAATTCCCGCTTGTGATTCATCCAGGCCAGCATTTCGCATGATATACTCTGCATATATATTAAATAAGCAAGGTGACAATATACATCCTTGTCATACTCCTTTTCCTATGCTAAACCAATCAGTTGTTCTATATCCGGTTCTAACTGTCGCTTCTTGGCCCTTATACAGACTAAATAAAATTTGGATGCAGAATGTTTGACACTATGGCGACCTCATCTTCTTCCATTCCTCAGAGGCAGAATTTTCCCTTTTTATCTAGTTTCTTCTTTTCTGATTATCTATGTCTATACCATCCTGTCACAGTATGATATTTTGCTGCTGGTTCAGCCCAGGAACCTGAGGGAAAGGACAAGATCACCCCTCTTAACTTAAATTACTGAAATGGCACACAAGAGGCTTTTTAAAGTTCAAATAACAAAATATTTTATTCAATGTAGAGGGGAAAAGGTCACGGGAAATCTGGGGCAAAATATCTGAGGTAAATCAATAATGAACTCTGAGGTAAATAAGTTTAGGCACAAACTATAGTTCATATGCTTCAAGCAACTGAGAGTTTCTTAAGCTTTTCACACATTCTTAGAATCTTTAAGATGAGAGGCTTTTGTTTCAGTGTTTCCTAAACACTCCAGTATACTTTCTTGAGCTTAACTGTTCCTTTTGGTTTCCACAAGGCAGGGATACACTATCCAGATCCCAAATTCCTTCACTAAATATACCAGTACACTTACTTGAGTTTTACTGACTTTTCAGGTTTCCAAAAGCAGTCTTTAAACACACCAGACCAGGGATCACTTCACTCTTTGAGCTATCTCCCTTTTTTAACCAAGTACGGAATTTCCTCTCTCACTAGAAGACCTATCCCTTTTTCTGGCCCAAATTGCCAGATCTACCCATGCCTCCTGCCAACCTTCCCAATTCTCCATCCGTGTTAAACTGCTGCCAGTCAAGGCTAAACACAAACCCGTCAGCACCCAACTCTTCTCAGGTTGTGTTCAGACTGGCAGTTTGGCCCGATATAGGCACATTTTACAAACGGATTAAATGGGCAGGATCACACAGCCACATCTGTCAGGCATTCCCCGGGCGTACTCACCCCATCAGAGGATGACTTGGAGCCGGGTTTAAAAGCCACCACCTCTGAAGTGGTGTTTTTGTTTCCCCACACATTCATTGCGAATGGCCGGATGTCTGAACACGGGGAGCATGTGGAGAATGGATTTGGCAGTGTGAACCTGCAGATCCGTTCTGCCGCTATGGAGGTGGTTTTTTAAAAAAGACTTGCCTATGTGCGCATGCATGTGCATGCGCACTACGCACACACATGGTAGTTGGATTTTTTTTTAACAGTTCACTCTGTAACTGAGGTGCCACAATAATGTGGAGGCTTTACCATGGGATGTCTCCATGGGTAACCCACAGCAGGGTGTGTTGTGTGGCTGATATATCCCACTACACTTTAACCCGGTTCAATTAGAGGCAGCACCATATCGCGCCAAGCTGCCAGTATGATCACAGCCTCAGTCAGGGTTAGACTCAGACTCAGTCAGTATTAAACTGAATTCTCCTCAGCAGTCAGTTCACAAGTCTTCTCAACTGATGCTAATCAATCAAATTCCTTTGAGCAGCCTGTCACTCAAAGGCACCTCTGGTTCTGTGAGGCATTAACCCTTCACATATTTTCACATATTTATGCAGCACTTATGAACTGTTAAAATGCAGTCTGTCACAGACACATTTCCCTTTGCTAAAATCCAGCAAATATAACAAAACATATTTACAAGTTTTGTAAATGCAGCTTTTGCTTTTTCTTTTAAATCTTAGGTCTTCGATTATGATTTTGGCCTCCAAGATGATTTCATGGGATCAGCATTTTTTGACCTCAGTTCACTAGAACAAAATAGGTATGTCTTTGTTCCCTCTATTTTAAGAATTAGATCTATTTTAAGAATTAGATCCCCTTTCTAAAATAAAGCTTAAGGTAAAGGTAAAGGTTCCCTTGCTCGAAAGCCAGTCGAATCCGACTCTAGGGTTGCGGTGCTCATCTCCATTTCAAAGCCGAAGAGCCAGCGCTGTCCGAAGACGTTTCCGTGGTCATGTGGCCGGCATGACTAAACACCAAGGTGCACGGAACACTGTTACCTTCCCACCGAAGTGGTACCTATTTATCTACTCGCAATTTCTTGCTTTCGAACTGCTAGGTTGGCAGGAGCTGGAACTAGAGACAGGAGCTCACGCCGTCATGCGGCACCTGGGTCTCGAACTGCTGAACTACTGACCTTCCACAGCCTGCAGTTCACTTGAGCCACCGCAGCTCCATAAAAGCTTAGCTTGTGGATTAATACAAGTGGGGGCCTCACAAGGACGTGGGTGGTTTCTCATTTCTGCTCCCCCACTATATCCTCTTTCTCTTTCTTGAAAGTCCATATAACTTCTACCCCTTTCCCACTGCTTTCTCTCCTTCCCACTCACCAGCCAACCTACCTTTATCTACCCCCATATCTTTAGCTTTCCCTCCTTCCCTCACCCTGGCAGCCTCTACCCAGGAAAATGATGGTGCAGTAGTGCGATGGGGAACTTTTAAGGACTTGCAAGGGCCCTCTCATTTCCCCCCTGTTCCCCTTCTTCATAGTATTTTTTCTTTTCTTCATCCTGGCAACTATTATCTCCTAAGTTTTTCCTGCTTCCTTTCTCTCCTTCCTGCCACCAACCAAACCTACATTCTAACAACAGCCACACATCTTTAGTTATATTTATTATTTATTTACTTCATTTTTGCACAATGGGGACCCAAAGCAGCTTACACCATTCTCCTGTTCTCCATTTTATTCTCACTGCAACCCTGTGAGGTAAGTTAGGCTGAGAAGTTAGGCTAACCCAAGGTCACTCAGTGAGTTTTCAAGGCAGAATGAGATTTTGAACTTGTATCTCTCAGATCACAATAAAAAACTCTAACTACTGCACCATACTGATTTTTGTAGTGTGGCTCCTGTGGAAAAGGAGCAAACAGCCAGTTGTGTGTGAGTCGTGCAACTCATGTGGTAGCAAGTTGCCCACTGATTGCTATCAAGCCTGTCCTGAATGAGTCCTCCCTCAAAGGCCAAAACAGCCCTGGAAACGGTCCTGCCCCCCTTTTCACTGACAGAAACAAAGACTGGCAATATTGTGTGGTTGCCTAGCACTGGCCACTGAGGGATATTCATTTCTTAAAGCAACAGATGCTGCTTCTATTATTTGGGTTTTTTAAACCCCCCAATGTATTTTTATTTACATTTCAGTTTTTTCTGCAAACCTGGGGTATTTTCCAGGTTTGTAAAAAGATCTGTCTTGTCTTTTCAGGGCTCCAGTATCTGGATTTAAGTATGCACAGATCTGATCATGTTGAAAATATTGATATGAGTAATCTTTACTTATTAGAGTATGAGGTGGGCACAAGAGCCATTTAACTCTCTGTGTTGTGGCAATTGGTAAATGTGTTTACATCAGTTTTTACTTGCTTTTCTCTAAATACCTAGGATTCAGAGTGGCTTACAATAATACTTGAAACAAGTTTGCAAAACAACACACTTATAACAAACTTTACTAAACTGTTTTTCAAACAAAACCTCTGAATTCTATGAAACTCAAGCTCTTGAATGCTCACCTTGTTAAGGGTAGGCAGTGCAGTCCCATTTGGAACATCAGCGTTGCTACTCAGCATCATGGGAGTGCCTATGTATCAGTGGTAAAGCATGTTTTGCATGCAGAAGGTCTCATGTTCAATTCCCGATATCTTCAGGATTAGGTAGTAAAAGACAACTACATGAGACCCTGGAGAGCACTGCCAGTCACATTACACAGTATTGACCTTGACTCAGTATCTCTCTACTCACAAAATTAGGCATGTTGAAATTAGTGGGATGGATCCTAAACTCCACTGAGCAAATTTGGTTTGTTTATTTACTGAAATGACTATACCCCACCTTTCCTTTTGGCTCAGATTTGAAGCCTTCTTCTAATCTAAGTTGCTCTTCCATTGGAGGAAGGCTACTTGGGGGGATAGTTGGATTCACTAATGTAGACGGAGAGCAGGTACCAGCACACTGTCTCTGTCTCCTGCCTGTCTGCAGTCTCTGGCTCATGAGCATCGAGTCTTGTGCACAAGAACTGTATGTAATTGGCAACGTGGTTTATATTTTGGGGGCTGAATGATTTTAGAGTGAAGTGACAGACCCAGTTTTCTGCATTTCAGGGGCCTTTGAAGGTGTGGTGGCAGGGTGGTTATTGCTATACCAGTGAGTGTTAGAGCCGTATACAGCTAGCTCTACTATAGCTGTGGGGGGTGGTAAACTTTCCTTGTGGTGGGGGAGGGAGAGTAATGACTTGAGTTTACCTTCCTACCCCATCTTTATCTTGATGTCAATGTTTGTTGTTGTGCAGTTGCCCAGTCGAGTTCGACTCTTCGCTACCCCACGGACCACATCATGCCAAGCCCTCCTGTCTTCCGTCGTGCTCCAGAGTTTGCTTAATTTCATGTTCATTGCATAGATAACACTGTCTAACCATCTCATCCTTTGCTGTCCACTTCTTTTTTTACCTTCAATCTTTCCCAGCATCAGGGCCTTCTCCAGTGAGTGCTCCCTTCTCATTTGGTGGCCAAAGTATTTGAGCTTCAGCTTCAGTATCTGGCCTTCCAGGGAACAGTCAGGGTTGATTTCTTTTAGGATGATCCTAAGGATGGACTGCAGTCTTCTCCAGCACCATAATTCAAAAGCATCTATTCTTCAGCACTCGGCCTTCCTTATGGTCCAACTCTCACAGCCCAGTGGAGTTTAGGATCCATCCCACTGATTTCAACATACCTAATTTTGTGGGTAGAGAGCTACTGAGTCAAACCATTGGTCTATCAGGGTACCTGCCTTGAACTGTAAGATTTTAATAAATAAAAATAAATAGATCCTCTTTAACAACATAGAAGAAGGCACAGTTGGAGGGTGAAGCTGGATAACTGCATACTGGGATATATCTGGGAATCATGCCCACAGAATTGAAAACGTTGTACCCACTTGTCACATGGTATCTTGATATCATGAGTTCAAGTAGATACATGTTATTGCCAATCAATAATAATGTAGTATTTCTTCTAGCTTTTTTATTGTGCTGTCTGCTGCCAAAGCGGCATCTATTAAAATACTGATAAAATCATAACAGTAAATCAATTTAAATGTTAGCAGTGATTTATAAAACAGGCAAAAGCTTCCATAGCAGCATCAAAAAATAAGAGAATATCTAATTGTCTTTAAACTGTGCTTCTTTGAAGAACCAGCTTTTAACCACAGGTGGCTACACATACTTCCCAAAGTATCATGCTCTAAAACATGGGCACTATCATGGAGAAGACCCATCTCTTCCCTCTCAGTCTTTTTTTTCTGTAAAATCCAGAATACAAAGTAGGGCCTCCCACAATGATATAAGAGAACAGAGATATTCATATGGAAGAAGATGAGAAATCACTCCTCCTCTAGGTTTCTGGGATTATGATCCTAGTTAAACTGAAATGCAACAACCTTGCAAGTCCTTTAGCAACTTGGCCTTTGCTTCCTGGTGAAATCCTAGAGCCCTTCAATTTGTGTGAGAAGCATTAGAAAAGGATTGTCATTGCCATAAAGAATGGGATACTTCTAAGCTTTACCAGCTCTCCTCAATTTAAGAACATAAAAACATAAGAGAAGCCAATGTTGGATCAGGCCAATGGCCCATCCAGTCCTACACTCTGTCACACAGTGGCCAAAAATACCAGGTGCCATCAGGAGGTCCAGCAGTGGGGCAAGGACACTAGAAACTCTCCCACTGTTGCCCCCCCAAGCACCAAGAATACAGAGCATCCCTTGCCCCAGCCTGAGGGTCCCTATCTGTACCTTGTGGCTAATAGCCACTGATGGACGTCTGCTCCATATGCTTATCTAATTCCCTCTTGAAGCTGTCCATGTTTGTAGCTGCCATCACCTCATGTGGCAGTGAATTCCATGTGTTAATCACTCTTTGGGTGAAGAAGTACTTCCTTTTATCTGTTCTAACCCAACTGCTCAGCAATTTCATTGAGTGCCCACGAGTTCTTGTATTGTGAGAAAGGGAGAAAAGTACTTCTTTCTCTACCTGCTCTATCCCATGCATAATCTTATAAACCTCGATCACCCCTCAGCTGTCGTTTCTCCAAGCTAAAGAGCCCCACGCGTTTTAACCTTTCATAGGGAAAGTGTTCCAATTTCTAAATAAACAGAAAGAGAAAGAGCAGTTGCCTAAGATATTTGAGAATGCAGCTTAAATTACACACTGAAACAGGGAATCAGAGCTAATTCTTGGCTACTGGTAAAAAACAAAACCCTCCCCATCATACTAATCCACAGCTGTTTGATTATAAACTAAAGAACTACCTAATATACTGTTTACATATGAAATGATGGTTCTTGTAAACTGTCTGGTTTTACCCATAGCCAAATGTCATGATCTGTGTTCCCTCTAAGCTGAGTTAGTGTGAGCTAGCTGATGGTTTTTTAGCCTCCGGCTCACACATTTTCGTTTCAGCTCAGGAAGGAGGGCTCCAGAGCAAACTGATTTATGCAGCAGCCAAATCGGCTGCTCACAACCGTAATGCCGGTAGCTCACAGAGTAGAATTGTTGCTCACAAGACTCCACAGCTTAGAGGGAGCCTTGGTCATGATCCTTCTTCAGTCAATCTAATTTATTGCGGCAGGAGCCAGTAAAACAGTACAATTATGATATAAAAGGGATTAAAACAGTAATAACATGGGAATAATATAAAAACATTAACAGGAGAGAGTTAATAACATTAGAAAAGTAAAATAGTGTTAATAAAAGAATCATACAATTTTTTCAGCTAAAATAAGTTTACGTTTCCTAATAGCTAAGCAACAAAATTTTGCCACAGCGTAAGTCACTGAGCTCTGAACGTCTTCTAAGAGGAATTTACGAAGGACTCCTGGCCTAAAGTCAAGAAGACTGCAGAGGGCTAAATCTAGACAGAAGAGGTAGTATAAGATGGTTTCGTTCCTCCTGATAGAATCTGCAGAACAGGAGGACATGAGTGATTGATTCCACCATATTAGCCATGCATGGGCATATACGTTCATGCATTGGGACTCGAGTGAATTTACCTTGCAGTACAGTGGAAGGGAGTGCCTCAAAGCGGGCTCTGGAAAAGGCCCATCTATAGGGTTCATAGGTAATGTTAACTAAATAAGGGGCAACAGTAAAATTTGGGACCAGGCAGGGTAAGGATCCGAGGCTAAAAAGTAAGGTATTAAACCCTTTGGGTTGTAATGAATTTTTAGCCAGAGCATTATAGCCTGCTCCCAGACCTTTGTTTCAACTCTGAGTAGCCCAGCCTGTTGCCTAAGTGTTACATTAGAGGTACTCCTAGGAACGCCAAATAGAGATCTAAGAAATTTTCAAGGGTCTTTAGATTGGCAGAAAGTCCGATTTGTGAGCCATACAGGAGTTGAGCCAATGATTTTGCCTGGAAGGTTTTTAAGGCCGTGGGGAGAAAGCCTGCACCTTTCCTTCTAAATAATCTAAGAATGGCATTTTTACTTCTCTCTGCCAGGTCAGCTGATGAGGACAGATGTGCTGAGAATTTAGAATTATAAGAAAAGGTAATGCCTAAGTATTTTAAGTTCTTAACTTGATCTATGGCATTTCCTTTAATATTCCAGTTGAACTTCTTGAATGAGTTACCAAAACGGACAATTTTAGTTTTAGCTAAATTAATAGATAGTAATTCGGTGTCACATTGCTCTTTAAATTTTATCAGGGCTCGCTTCAGGCCAATCCTTGTCTGGGATAAAAGAACAGCATCATCAGCATACATTAAGATTGGAACCTTTCTGCTACCTGAGAATGAGGGAGCATGAGTATCAGTTGAATGAAGGCATGTGATTAAGGAGTTAACAGATGTTAAATAAGAAGGGAGCCAAAAGGCAACCTTGTCTGACTCCTTTTTGCACTGGAATACATTTCGATAGTTTCCCATCTTATGTGAGCCTTATTTGGATGTCATTATTTTCGTGCAGTTTAATTAATAGAAGCAATAGCCTTCTATCGATACCCATGTCAGCCAATTTGGCCCAAAGTCTTCCCCTAGAAACAGAGTCATGATCCTTCTTGCCCCACCACCACTGCTGGCCTTCCTTGTAAATCATTTTATGTTCCCCCCCTGGAGAAACTCTGAACCTGGTTTCCCTATATTCCCTTTCTATCAGGGTAAATATTAATTTAAGTCATTCATTGTGTATGAGAAGAAAAAGGGGTTATGTTTTTTTTCTTTTGTTGATTTCTTACACAGCTTATGGTAGAATATGGTTTTCAAGAGATCTGATTGGTTAGCATCAGCTGAGAAGAGAAAGGCTTCAGAAGTGGATGCTGAGGAGAATTCCATCTGATTTCAGCCCTAGCTGAGAAGAGTCAAGTACTGACAGTTTCGGATTTCAGCCTTGGCTGAGAGCAGTTTAACACAGATGGAGAATTGGGGGAAAGTTGGCAAGGAAGTTTGGGAAGGAAATGGGATAGAGAAAGAAGTAGATTCCCTACCCAGTCAAACAGGGAGTTAGCTCTGAAGAGTACAAATAGAGATCCCTGGTCCAGTATGGTTAGAAACTGCCTCTAGATACCTTAAGAGTCAGTTAAAAACTCAAGATGAGTACTGGTGTTTCAAGAGAAGGGGGTTGGGTACTGAAAAGAGTGCATCAGTCTTCTGGAAACCAAGAGAGAGAATACTCAAAGAAAATGTACTGAAGGGTTTGGAGAAAACACTGGAACAAAAGGAATTGTGAATAGCTTAACTCTCATTAGCCTGAAATATAAGAACTAAAGTCTGTGCATGTACTGGTTTTGCCTCAGAAATTTCAACCCCTGACTTCACCTGACCTTTCCCCTCTATGTTAAATAAAATATTTTGTTATTTTTGAACTTCAAAATGCTTCAATTGCCATTTAAGTCGTTTAAGATAAAGCTGACTCCTGATCCTTCCCTCAGGCTCCTGGGCTGAGCCAACAGCCAAAATATCATACTGTGATAGGGTGGGACAGCTAGACTTCTTCAGCAAAGAAGAAGACACATTACTAGGGTGGCTCAGTCAAAGAAAGGGAAAGAAAAACAAAGGTAAAATCTTGCCTCTGAGGGAGGGAAGTGTACGGGGCTGTCATAGCAGGCCAGGTAGGAGAAGAGATGACATGTTTACCTTTTTATTTATAATCCCCACTCTTAGATAATGGAAAACAGAGGCAGCTGCTCTGGACCCCACTCTTGGGGGGGGGGCGAAAGTGCTTCCACTTGTACCTCCCTCATCTGGAGTTTAGGCACCTGGTGTACAGTGGTAGTGGTAGCTCCTGCCCACCTCTCATGGGGTGAGAGCCACCCTTTGCTTGCCCTTGGTGGGGGATAGTGTTGGGGTAGCAGTGACTCTGAGGTCCCTTCCTGGACTTTTGCCCTTAGCCCAGAATTACTAAGATTGCCCTGATTATACGCTAAATCCTTCTGTATGATTGTGCTTTTTGTTATGTAATCAGTTCAGGAATGACTAAAGTGCAGTGTTCACTGGATGTCCCATCCTATTGATTGTATTTGACTTACACTTTGACTTACACCTCTGTGAGTCTCAGCAAGAAAGATGGGGTATAAATAACATAAAATCTGATACATGTAATTGTCCTAATGCCATTTCCAGCTCTCCCATTGGCTGTGCTGTGTGTTCCATCAGCCATTGGCCCATCAACTGCCACTCAAGAGTACTAGCATGCCATTGGCTGGATGCTGGGTCTACTCCTCTCCCCTGCCCACTGCCAGCCTGGACACCTTTCCCTCACAGAATAAATTGCCAAAACGGCGATCTCTCCTGATGAAGACACTTCTCCTGATTGGCTCCTGTGGGACTAACTTTTCCCTCAGTGGCTGTTGCTAGGCAACCAAGTTTGGTTCTGTCAGTAAAAAAGCAAAGGCAGGAGGCCCTTTCCAGGCCTTTGTGGGTAACTCATTGGGGCCAGTCCTGACTAGGGTTGCCAGCTCCAGGTTGGGAAATTCCTAGATATTTTGTGGTGGAGTCTACAGAAGCCAGAGTTTGGGGAGGGGAGATGCCTCAGATGAATAGAATGCCATAGAGCCCACCCTTCAAAGCAGTTATTTTCTCCAGGGGGGAGAGATCTGTTGTGTAGAATTCAGTTGTGATACCCAGCGATCTTCAGGCTCCACCTGGAGGTGGGCTACCCTAGGTGTAGCAGTTAGCACTTCAGAGCAGGGTCTGCCAGACCCAGGTTCTTGCTGTGGAGGTTGAATTGGTGATTTCGGATCAATCACAGACTTTCAGCCTAACCTACCTCACAGGGTTGTTGTGCATGTCCAAATGGGAAGAGGGGAATGATGTAAGCTGCTTGGTCTCCACTGCAGGGAAAGACTGTACTTTTCCTCCTGGGGAACCATTGTTGCCAATCTTCAGGTGAGAGCTGGAGATCACTCAGAATTACAACTGGTCTCCAGACAGTAGACTTCAGTTCCCCTGGAGAAAACGGCTGCTTTGCACAGTGGATTCTGAGTCATTATACCCTGCTGAGGTCGCTTCCCTCCTGATTGGGTCCCCACTGAGGAGAAGTAAGACTGTACTTTTCCTAGGTAGAGGCTGCAGGTGTAGGGTGGAGATGGAAAGCTGAAGTCAGAGGGGCATATAAAGGTAGGTTGATGGTTGGCTGGGAAAGAGATAGGGTTGCCAGCTCCAGGTTGGGAAATTCCTAGATATTTTGTGGTGGAGTCTACAGAAGCCAGAGTTTGGGGAGGGGAGATGCCTCAGATGAATAGAATGCCATAGAGCCCACCCTTCAAAGCAGTTATTTTCTCCAGGGGGGAGAGATCTGTTGTGTAGAATTCAGTTGTGATACCCAGCGATCTTCAGGCTCCACCTGGGATTCATCAGGCCCTCACAGACAGCATGGGGGGGAATGGGTTCTGAAGAAGGAGGGGAGAATTGGTGGAAATCACCACACCCTCTTGGGAAGTCTTAAATGAGATCAAGTCTTTAGAAGTATGTGGTTGAATGCATTCCATTAGCTGCTTCTTAAACTGCTTGTATCAGGATGTGCAATTTGCAGAACCTGAGACTTTAGAAACAACAATGTATTGTTTAAACAACAGATGTTTGGGTATTTGGTTTCTAGGCCAATCGATGTTACATTGAGTCTGAAGGATCCACATTACCCAGATGATGATCTTGGAACTATATTATTGTCTGTGTTGCTGACACCAAAAGAACAACCAAGGGAAGCGGTAAGTGTGTTTTAACATGTAAGCAAGTAAGTAGCTTTTTCCTTGTGCATATAAAGTTCATAAGCTTTCTATGATTAAACAGGAAAGTTAAAGGGAGACTAGTTTCTTATGAAGTTACACTGTCAGTTCTGATCAATATTTAAGGATGTATTAGTGTCCATGGTGCGTGTAACCATAGATGCCCTTCTTTAGACCAGTCTCTCCTTTAATGCTTTCTGTACAGACAGGATCTTGGTGGTATGTAAATATGCAGTGCCTTCATACATGGTTATTATGGAATAATGTTTTCTTTTTTATTGATAAAGAATTATTCAGTCTAGTGGTGGTGTGTTCTAATGCTAACAATTCAAGCCTATTACAGTAGATGTTGTCCCAGTGATGATAAAATTCAGCTAAAATGTTCTGTGCAGAAGAGCTTAATTGATTTTGGAGGCAGTGACTGTCTTTGGAAAATAGTATCATCAGGGCTCTAGTCGGGGGGGAGCTCTCAGGTACGGAGCTCCGGAAGAGAACCTCTAGGGGGCGGGGCGGTCACGTGGTGAAGCCCCGCCCCCTTCTTTACCCCGCCCTCTGCTTCGATCCTCATTCCGTTTGGGAATGAGGATGAAGCAGGAGGGTAAGTAGCCGGGCCTTCTGACACACTTCCGGTGATGTCAGGGGGTGTGGCCTTCTGTAACTTCCGGTGATGTCAGGGGGCGTGGCATATGCAAATAAGTTATGCTAATGAGTTATGCTAATGAGCTCCGGCAGCTCTTTTTCTACAACAAGACCCCTGAGTATCATGCAATATCATTTCTTGAAAGTGTCATGCAAAGGAGCTAAAAGTGGTTGAGATCAGCAGTTTAAATGCTGGCAAATGGACCAAAGTAAACTCATGAAACTTGAACTATGAATCTTCTAGTTTATAATTAAGTGCAATATACTTTTTCTAGCAGGTACATATTTTTTTGAAGTATCCATATCTTGTTTCACATTATGCAACTCTTTACCCATGTTTTTGGAAACTAGTTTTCAATAGAGTATCTGTGAAATGAGTTGGGAAGAAGCATTCTTGTTAAAATTTTCCACTTGGAGTACAAAAGTCGCTCCTCACTGAAATGAACTTTTGTGAGGATATCATCAATGGTATTCTGGTTTCCTTAATGTTGCAAACTATTTTGAATAGGCTTTATTTTTACATTTGATAGATAAATAAATAATGATTCAATACTCTGGAATCTTGGCTTTCAAACTGAAATTCATGATGCAGATTTTACAGATTTAAGACAAACATCCCCAAATTAAAGGTATAGTTATACAGTTTTAGTGGGAATTACCACCCATTGCCATGTAGAAATATCAAAATCCCTTATAGAATTTCTGGCTCTGTCAGCCTCTGAAACAAATTGCAGATATATTGATTTGTCTAATTTCTCTTTGTCCCATGCTCAATATATCCCAATGGAAGGCTTTTTGCAGTATCTCAGAACAGGGAATATTTGATACATAGGAACTTAATGGGCCATTTAGTATTTACTTCTGCACACCAACACAAAATAATTCTAGGTGTATTGTGATTTTGTATGTCAGATTGCATTGGACATCTAAAATTCTGCCAGCTGCATGAAATAGCCAAAGTTACTGTAATGGAACATCCACGACCAAGTGTTAGAGGTCACATAGAAACCTTGTTTGAGATCAGGAACTTGAAGTGGCTTAAAAGGTTGGGGTAAAGGAGAATTTTCTCATTTTCTTTCAGACTGTTGCTGTACATGATGTAAGATTTAACTTTACAAGATGCTCTTTGCAACTCAAGGTTCTGTGATGGATTTAAAATGTTTATATGTGGATGCTTTGAGACTTAAACAGATCTGGTGTAATCTGATTGATCAGTGTCATATTGTAGGAGGATAGAATTATTGAGTACTGTTTGTGATTTTTAAATAAAATATTAACATGAGAGAACAATCAAATTTCAAAGTACAAATATTGCAAATATATAAGCAATGTATGCTATTGTACAGTTTTCATGCAAGGGAAGTGATGTTATAGAATGTATAATTTCTAAGGTAGACTAGCATTACGATTTCCAAATCAGATACTATTTATACTATTTGATCAGGGATTCCAACCCATACTTAATACCTTTTCCAGGTGGCCTGTGTCCTTGAGTCTTTAATTCATTATTTCAATCAGTGCTGTGCCTGCTGCACTGGCTCCAGGTTGAATACCAGATCAGGTTCAAGGTTCTGGTATTAATCTTTAAGGCCCTAAACAATCTGGGACCAACGTACCTTCAGGACCACCTCTCCTGGTATACCTCCTGAAGAGCATTGTGCTCAGCAGAGAAAAATCTACTGGTGGCCCTTGGCCCCCAAAATATTCAGCTGTCCTTGACCAGAGCCAGGGCTTTCTCAGGCCTGGCTCCAACTTGGTGGAACTGTCTGCCTAGTGACATCTGTGCCCTGCAGGACTTAGTACAGTTCCACAGGGCTTGTAAGGCAGAGATGTTCCGCCAGGCTTATGGTTATTCTACCATGCTCTTATTTAGTCTGGCCCCTCTTCTCCCTCTCCCCCTTTGGGGTTAGGATAAATGTATTTAAGGCACCATCTGGAATGGGTGCTGTATTTGTTTTACTATTTTTAACTAGTTTTAAATGTATTTGATTGTATCTCTTAAATGGTATACAGTGCCCTAAGCCCCAAGTATGAGGGAGGGCAGTTTAAAAATCAAATCTATAAATGAATAGAATAAAATAGAATAGAATAATGTCACATTGCACAGGCTAAGGTAATAGGTGAGAAAAGAGAGAGGATTTCATTTTCATAGCTTCACTGGAATTGTAGTTTATTACGTCAATCAGTTAAAAAGGACCTTTATCCTTATTAAATTATTAAAATAATAAAGGAATGTCTTGCATACGGAGTTCACACTAGCAACTAAAGTAAAAGCACCCTAGCTGCAATCACTACTTTCTGAAAGTTCTGTGGGCATACTACTTCCTATGTGCAAAAACAGGGGAGACAATGATCTGTGCTCAAAGTATGTCACTTTGATGATACAATCATGATTCTCCCTGAGTGGAAGATTTATTTTTCCCTCCTGTTCCACAGGTGCAAAAGTAGTAGGGATGCCATTTGCCTGGGGGTAGTGTACAATCTCCTACTCCTGAGCTCCAAGCCCCACTGAAGGTCTTCACTTCAATGGGAGCAAAAATGTGGGGTGGAAAGCAATGTCCCATACTATCATGATGCCACTTCTGGTTCTGCCCATAAGTGACATCACAGTGCAAGTTAGAGGAATATAAGTTAGAGGAAACTTGTCTACAAAGGCTAATACAAAGCTTCTTGGCTCATGTTTTCAATCAGGCAGCAAATTAACATTGGTATGAGTAGATCCAAGGCTTAGCTTGTGTGTTGTTCCTGGTATTTGATCCAGGGCAAGTTGGGTTGGCTTATGACTCTTTGGGAATCAGAAAATATATATATATATATATATATGAGAGAGAGGGGGGGGAGGGAGAGGGAAGGAAGGAAGGAAGGAAGCAAGGAAGGAAGGAAGGAAGGAAGGAAGGAAGGAAGGAAGGAAGGAAGGAAGGGTAGAGGTTTTAGCTTTGTCATATTTCATCTTTTCAAGGGAACTTACAAGGAAGGGGGAAAGCTTTGTATATGCTACTTTAAGGGGGTAGCCAAAGTGCTAGAGGCAGGTCCTCATATGCTTCATTTCCCCCCACACATACCTTGTAGTAGGGAGTCTGCTTGCTTTGCAGTTTGTCTTTTAACTCTCCCAGAATTAATATATAAAAAGAACAGTGGGGCCAGTTAAGTAGTGAGAGATCTGTGCTGAGAGGGTCCCCATATTGAGTATCTGAGATCTCTCCTCATCTAAAAAGCAAACAAGGATGGATGGAGTCCACTTGTTCATGTGTAAAATGGAAATCTTTTTATGAAAAAGCAGATGAGGGACAGAAGTCCTGGCTGTGCTTGGTGGTTTTTATGCTGCTAGGATGTACGGGCTTTCTCCTATTCCCACAAAATTTAGAGTTGAGGATATAACAACAAATATTAAATAATCTAAACAAACGTTCTTAATAAACACTGTATCTGAATGTCTATGCACATTCCTAACAAAAGACCCTGACAAAAATTACCAAATCATGTAGTAGCATTTGTGTGCTTTTTGTACATTTTTCTTGTGGGTTAACATTTGAGAGAATGTGTTATCCAAAACAGTAGCTAATGGTGGCTGTCTTCTAGTTTTGTTTCCTAATGTACATAATAATCCTTTTAAAGCTAACTATGCAGTAGAATCCATGTATACTTTTGACATATATAAAAATGTTAGGGTTATACTGAAAGCCAAAATAATGCTAGCATTTAGTGGAGCTTTCAGTATCACCAAAGTTTTGAATACAGAATGTCATCTAATATTTAAAATATATATTTGGCCATGCCTGTTGTAAAATGTGACCACAAACAAATATCGTGAAGTTGAGTTAGGACACTGATGATTTACTAACATTCAAATAATTAAAAGTTCTCTGCAATTTCAGATTTTGTATAAGTTACACCACTAAAATTTGCATTGTGACATTGTGGTAGAAACACTAATTCCAGTTAAGAATTGTTGGAAGTATGATTTTAATTTTGTGGTATGAACACTAACAAGATCCCCCAAAAAAGTTCATTTCTTCTTATCTGGACTTAAAGTGACAAATCCAAACTAACAAATACTCAAAAAATTCTAGAAGGAAAACAGTTGTTTCTGATTAAGCATTGGAACCATAATGGAGAGTGAAAAACATGCCACATAATGTCTTTTAAATTTAGCTAGGAAAAATTTGAAAAAAAATGCTTTATTAATTTTTCCACTGTTTGTTGTATGTAGTTAACATGTTTTGCATGTGTAAGGATAATGCATGCCATGCATTTTACAACTGTATGCAATGTGTGTAGATTATAAATTGTGTTTGTATGTGTTCTGTGATATGTTTGAAATGAATGCATGAATGGCTTTGTTTTTATTTTGGCTCTATATCAGAGTTCAGTGCAAAGATTTCATAATTGGATAACTTGCAGTGAGTTAATTTGAACAGCCTGCGTGCATATCTTCTGTACCTCCAATCTGGCTGGCTAGTGGTAGAAGATACAAAATTCTTAGAAACATATAAATGATACTTTAAATCTCAAGGAAGTAACTGATGAGTCCAAATGCATCTCTGAAATAAAAACCAATAGCCAGCCACCAAACCCTTTATCCAAATGGCAATTCCAGACTAATTTTGGAAGAAAGAGAATATATGATCTTGATGTAGAAGTGCTTAAATTCTATACTTTAATGATTTTTCTGCATAAGTTCTGTTTCTATGCTGCTTTTCAGCCAGTTGCCTCCCAAAGTGATTTTCATTAATATGTAGTCTTCAGTTTGAAGTACAAAAGAGAGAGAGAGACTGACATGGGGTTTCCCCCCGGTTCTATTTAAAATAAAATGAGTATTTCTGAATGATCACTATCTATATTTGGCTCCTAAGAAATGCCTTAATTATTACTCTAACACTTCTGATTATACTTCAGCAGCTATCATATGTTTCTGTTGCTAAAATACAAATTAATATTCTTCAGGTGGAAATAGCTTTAGCTGGCTAAGTAGGCCATGGGCCTCATTCTTCACCTTGGTTATGATTTATCATAAAGCTTACCTAAGTCTGTTAATCCTTTTAATAGACTTCAGGGGTCATCTAATGTGGTATACTTCAATTAATGTAATTGAAGGTACTGGGGCTACTTCAAGCTTGTTTAAACAGTACTTGAGCTAGTGAATGTTTTAACTATCGAAGTGACTTGACAGCATCGGTTATCAGGCAATCTTAAATACTGGCAAGCAATAGTTTAATGAATAAATAAAAAATTGCTGCTAACTGATATTAGATTGTGGTCATTCAGATTAAGATAGCATTAGGAGTTTGAAGTAGTTTCCCTTTTATATAGAGATTCCATGGTGGAAAAAATTACTGAATTTAGAAAACTCTCACTTCTTCAGATATACTTCTTCAGATACAGACAGACTAACACAGCTACCCATCTTGATCTATCTCTTAGAAAATTGTCACATATTTTTGAGCAATTTAAACTTTTTTGTTTGTACTAATTCATCATTTTTGCTTTCTGACATAAATCCACTCTTAAGTGTGCCAGCATAACTGAAGTAGTACATTTTTGGAAATACTAAAAAGTTGATGTGTTCAAGTTCCCAGTATCATGAGAGGTCTTACTTTTTGAGGGAGGTATTTGTTGCTATGTGCATTGTACTATGTGGGGGGGGGGGTTTACTACAAAAAAGGCCCTGCTCTTGCGATAGTCCATCAAGTGGGGGAACTTTATAGCATTTCATATGTCTTATATTTGTTTTATTACTTGCCTTTGTTCCATGGCTTGATCTTGGCAGTAAAACAGTAACTGGAACTGTGATATTTATGACTAGGGATAGGCACAAACCTAAAAGGGGTGATTTTGGGAAGCCCATGAATGAAACCCTGAACTGAATGGACCCAAACGGGCCCTGACTGAATCAAACTGATTTGGCAAGTTCAGTTCCCCCTTTCTCTCGGCTCCAACTTGCCATGGCGAGGAGAAAGGTGGTGGGGACCGCCCTGGAAGGGACTTCCCTTCCACCTTTCTCCCGGCTGTGGCTCACTGGGGCCAGGAGAAAGGGGGGGAATGCCTGGGAAAGGACTTCCTTTCCTCCTTTCATGGGCCATGGCCCAGGCGATTGCTTGGGAAGTGTTAAATGGCTGCCAGCCATTTAAGCCTAGTAAGAAGGAGGGAGGCTACAAAAAAAGACCAATGAAATCACAAACAAATCTGTAGTCAAAGCATGCTAAATAAATGCAACAATAATTATCTAGAAAGCAAAGTCAATAATAATGCCAAACTCATATATATATTATTGTAGAATCACAAGCATAATAAAGAACAATTATCCAAAAGTGGGTGGTAACAAACTCAAACCCACAATAAGTCACAGCATATCTCACAAACAGCAGACTTCCTTCATATAGAACAAGAACACAAAGGAAAAAAAATTGTTTGTATAAATATCACATGTCCTTGAATTGAAGTCCAAACATCTATATATTGTGGGTTGTAGTAAATAAGATCCATTCCAACTGGAAACTACACAGTTCCAGATAATATAATCAGTGTTTCAGATCTATTACTTCGTCAGGTAAATCAGGTAAGTATTCATTAACATACAATGAATACATATGTATAAGCGAGGTCCCGATCAAAATAGCTGAATTAGGCACAGTTCCATATCTCTTGCAGGTCGGTTTAAATGGCAGCAATCCATTTAGCCCTTCAGTTTTTCTTCCCCTACTTCGAAGGACTGGCTGAGCTGTTAGGTTTAAATGGCTGGGCCCTGAACAACTGAACCAACCGGCACCTTCCCTGAGCATTGGCTCCCAAGCTCCGAACCAGCTTAAGTTTGTGTCAAATTTTGGCTCATGAGCCAGTTCATGCCCATTCCTATTTATGAACCCATTTTCAAATGAAGTGTTTACAAGAGCTAGTGTTCCCTCTTAACTGAGTTAGTGTGAGCTAGCTCAGTTTTTTTGGCCTCTGGCTCACACATTTTTGTCTTAGCTCAGGAAAGATGGGTCCAGAGCAAACTAATTTATGCAGTGGCCAAATCACTTGCTCATAGTAGCTCACAAAGTAGAATTTTTTGCCCACAAGACTCCACAATTTCAAGGGAGCATTGGCTACAAATCCATTTTTAATTCATGGAGTATACATTAGAACTCTATTATATGGGCAGTATGCCCTGGAGTAATTGATTTCTTGGGTTGGATCTGGCTTACTGTGAATGAGAGAAACTTTTCTAAATCACTAATTTACTATTCTTACTGGGGGGAAGGAATCTGAAAAATAAATTACAGATTCTGTGTGTTTGCCAAGTCAAGATGAACTGGAACTAATCTTAAATTTAGAAAAATTAAATCAAATATAGATTTTTTTAAAAATTGCACCTGGCTTTAATGTATAATTATAGATTAAAAGTTCATTGCTGTCCTCTATTCCATTTTTTGTATTACCCCAAACATATTTGTTACCTTATCCTCATTTACTTCATCAAAGAATTAGAGTTTCAGATCTGTCTGAATTTTCATTGTGAATGGTGCTTGTAATTGTTTGATGTCAGTCTTGTGTAGCTGTTTGGAATGTGTCTGTCATTTCAGTAGCATTAGTATGTGCTTTGCTCCTTTGGAAGACAATTGGCCTCCCCCTTCTGTGTGAATAAGTAAAAGGTGATTAAAATGCTCTATTTCATTTACAGACAATGCTAATGAGGAAGAGTTGGAAAAGATCAAGTAAGGTAATTCTTAGCATGTGGTCTCAAGAAGAAAATGTGTAACATTTTGTTTGTGTCACTTAAAGTGAAAGTTGTGACACAAAGATGTAAAACTGTTCCAGACTTCTAATAATGTAGGAGGCCTTTATAAGAAATCCCCTTTTGTTATAGTACAGCATTTTAAAGATGTCTTCATTGCAAAATTTCTGAATCTTTACCTAGATGTGGTAAGGAGGATCAGTTTACATTAAGATATACTTCATATATTATTTGCAGTAAAAAGGGTCTGAATTGATGGATAGTTAAAAAATAATAATCCAGTCTTTGGATTTTTCTTGAACTTAGAACATTGTTTTGTAAAACTGTTGGGTGCACATACCATAGTTTTCATCATCTGCCTTTCAGTTGTGACATGCTTAAACATATAATTGAATACATTTTGCTCTAATAACTGATCAGACAGTTGGCTTTTCTGAGGATGTTACAAACAGTGGCAGAAGAGGTGGTGACTTGTGTTGGGAAGTAAGAAGGACAGAAAGGGGCGCAACAACCATGGAGCATTTGTTCTAGGTCTGCCAAGTCCCCCCGGGGGGCGGATAACCCCCCGCTTTGGAGGCCTGATTTCTGCCGCTGCGGAATCGGGCCCTGGGAGGAACCCCACCCCGGCGTGCACGTCAGCCGGAGGTGACGTGATGACGCTGGGCACGCTGGGGGCGGGGCCACAGACATCTGAGGGGAAAACTCTTATGTCTCCGTCTTTTTTCCCTTCTTGACGATTGGGGCAACATTCGCTCTTCTCCAGTCTTCCGGCACAACACCAGTACTCCAGGACATCTCAAAGATTAGAGCCAGAGGCTCTGAAATAACAGCTGCAATTTATTTTAGCACCCTGGGATGCAAGCCATCAGGCCCTGGAGCAGGTGAACCCGCTCGCCGTAGTGACGAGGGACAAAGGAGGGACGCAAGTACCTCAGATTCAGAAGGGATGGGGAGTTGCGCCACTCCCCGAGTTACCTTCTTCGGGTTTACAGCCATGCTCACTTCTCTCTTGACCGTCACATTAGCTGACTCCAACATCCTCCCCGGTACTGCTCCGCTTCCCTCCTTATATCCTTCTTTCTCCCTGGTAGTGACACACCCCTTTCTGGTTTCCTGGATCTTATTGCTGCTCCCTTGTGCCCATCACCATGTCTTTCATTTCTATGGTGTATTTTCTCATATGTCCCGCCTCCATCTACCTCCCCTGCGTGTCGGTGTACCGGGGAGGGCCCACTTCCTGTGCGAATGGAGAGCCTGATGTGCGCTGTCTCAGCGTGTCTGCACCCTCGATAATTGGTAAGGCTGGAACACGCCACATTTCTCTCCCTCTTGCTCAGGCTCGTCCCCCTTGTGTCGGCTGCCAAGGGAGGGAGTCCGCGGCGGACCCATTCCCCGGCTCCATCTCTTTCAGGTCCCTCCTCCCTCGGGTTCTCTGTTGTCACTGGGGGAGGGGTTTGAGGTCTCCTGGATCTTTGGGGCGTCCTTCCGTAGCCCCGTAGCTTCCATCTCTGTTGCCTTCATTGCTTGGGGCTCGTTGAGAGCCTGGCGCGGGTCGCGCCAGTCCCACCGCAGCGGCCTGCAAGGCCACGGAGGAGCCTGTGGCGGGACAAAAGTATTTAAGGCAGCTAGATGCTCTCTAACCATCTCCTTACTTACTCTGGACTAGCAGTTCCTCCTTCCTTCATATGTCCTGCCTTCTTCAGTTCGTTTCAGCAGTTGAAACCCAGGCTTACCTCACCCCCATCTGATTTCTCCTCACCCCCCAAGTGATTTCTTCACATCTGGAGGCTCTGTTTCATGACACCCTTCTAAGCCCACATTCTCTGCATCTCTCTAAATTTAGCAGTGGCTAATTGAAGCATTTGCAAAACCTTTAGTCTAGTCCTTCCTTGGATGAGCAACTGGAAGTTCTGTGTTAAGCTGGACAGGCAAGAAGAACCCTTTCTATATGATCAAAAAAGAGCTAGATTATATTCATGACACTGCATAACTGATCAGATGGTTTTCAATGGATCCTCATTTTAGATATACCATCAAATCACATATCACAGACAAGTCCACAAACTGTTCCCCCCCCCAAATGGTGTAAGAATTAGCAGAACAAGCTTAAAGCAAGGTCTGTACTGCAATAGATGTTATTTACCTTGACTTCCAGAAAGCTTTTGATAAGGTTCCTCATCAAAGACTCCTAAGTAAGCTCAATAGTCATGGGATAAAAGGACAAGTCCTTTTGTGGATCAAAAACTGGCTAATTAATAGGAAACAGAGAGTGAGTATAAATGGGCAATTTTCTCAGTGGAGGGTGGTAAGCAGTGGGGTACTGCAGGGATCAGTACTGGGTCTGATGCTTTTTAACTTGGTCATTAATGATTTAGAGTTGGGAGTAAGCAGTGAAGTGGCTAAATTTGCGGATTACATGAAATTGTTCAGGGTGGTGAAAACCAGGGAGTATTGTGAGGCACTCTAAAGGGATCTGTCAAGGATGGGCAAGTGGGCATCAGTGTGGCAAATGGAGTTCAATGTGGCCAAGTGCAAAGTGATGCACAATGGAGCCAAAAATCCTAATACATGTTGATGGGGTCCGAACTGACAGAGACTGACCAAGAGAGAGATCTTGAAGGTGTAGTAGAAAACTCACTGAAAATGTCTAGACAGTGTGTGACTGCAATAAAAAAAGGCCAACACTATGCTGGGGATTATTAGGAAGGGAATTTAAAACAAATCAGCCAGTATCATAATGCCCTTTTTAACTTGGAGAAATGACGGCTGAGGGGGTGACATAATTGAGGTTCATAAGATTATGCATGGTATAGAGCAGGTAGAGAAAGAAGTATTTTTCTCTTCTCACAATACAAGAACTCGTGGGCCCTCAATGAAATTGCTGAGCAGCCAGGTCAGAACAGATAAAAGGAAGTACTTCTTTACTCAAAGAGTGATTAATACATGGAATTCACTGCCACAGGAGGTGGTGGCGACTACAAGCATGGATGGCTTCAAGAGGGAATTAGGTAAACATATGGAGCAGAGATCCATCAGTGGCTATTAACCACAAGGTATAGATAGGAACTCTGGGGCAAGTGATGCTCTGTATCCTTGGTGCTTGGGGGGGGGCAATAGTGGGAGAGCTTCTGGTGTCCTGGCTCCACTGCTGGACCTCCTGATGGCACCTGGTATTTTTGGCCACTGTGTGACAGAGTGTTGGACTGGATGGGCCATTGACCTGATCCAACATTGACTTCTCTTATGTTCTTAAGGAGCTCACAGTGTAAATCTAGACAGTGGAAGAGACAGCAAAGAGAGGGGCAGAAGAGGTAGATAACAGACAAAGTAATTGAAAAGAAGAACCTCCATGATAAGGCCTGTCAAAAGCACAAAAAATACAACATCTAGTGTAAGAAAGTACTCTCCTAAATCTATGATGGAGAAGAATGCTTTCAACCTCCCCCCACTATTTCCTTTGTGCAAGGAAGGGACAAACCCCTGGAAATATCTCTGGTTCACTGCAGTTTTTAAAGGACAGCGAGACACAATGCTGAAGCCATGTTTTTGAAGTTGGTTTCTTAACCACTGTTGTCTCAAGGGTAATTTTGTGTGCTGTACAAATACAAGAATCCTGACTTGTTCTCCTGCCTGACCCTTGTTCACTCTCTAGTTAAGGAGAGACTTGCATGACTCATGCAAGACTGGCAACTACCCCATAAAAGCTAGTGTGATTAAGAGGTTAGAGTTTCAGGCTGAGTTCTGGGAGACCCAAGTTCTAAGTCACCAGTCTGTTGCAGAAGCTCATTAAGCTGACCTTGTGCTAGTTACACCATCTCAGCCTGACCTAAGCTCTTCTTATGTTCCCCATTGTGGAAAAAGGTGTGGTTTATAGATTAAGTAAATAGATAATAACTATAGTTGAAAATGGGGGCCAGAGAGGTAGGTAGGTTGGTGGGTGGGAAGGATACAAGGAAAGGGGGGGATATAGGGGTTGCCAGGAGGGGGGGGAATGGTGAGGAAATAGTGTGGGGAAGGTGGTACAGGGGAAAAATGAGTTGTCCCTTGCAAGTTGTTGGGGGTTCCCAACCCTCTGTTTTTCCAGGTAGAGGCTGCTGAGGGGGAGGAGGGAAAGCTGAAGACATGGGGGTGGATAACGGTAGGGCTGGTGAGCAGGAAGGAGAGAAGAAATCAGGAAAAGGGGAGATAGTTTGGGGGGCTTTCAGGAAAGGAAAAGAGGAAATCGTGGGAAAGTGGAAAACAAGATGCCCCATGCAAGTCTTTGCAGGACCCCTGCTTGTTGCTAATTCGCATATTCCTAGAGCTAACTTTACAAGGGGTTCTGCAACTGAAATAAAGTAGGAGCTAAGGGGAGGAGGTAACCATATCCTAGGCACAGCCTCACACATAGAGTGGAAACCTCTTTTTTTGCTATATGATGGATTCTGGATACCAGTCACCAAACCCAGTTTTTGACACCATTGGTGTCTGGGTGCTAGGATTTTTGCATTCTTTGTAAATGCTAGTTAGGTTTATAGCTGAACCAGGACTGGAAGCCAGAGTAAAGTCTTTGGGAGAATTATATCTTTTCTGGCCTTAGAATTATTAGGTGAACCTTTATTCTCAAAGAAGAAAAATACCTTATCTTTGGAACTCTCTGATACTTGATTGATGACTTATCCTGCTAACTAATATGGGAGAAGTTAAGCAAACTGAAGTGATTTAAGTTGCTTGGTTTCAAATTTGATTTATTATAGGATTAATAGTTTGTTATTAGCCTTTTATTTAACATGCTTGTGTTAAAAATCTCAATAATTTCCTCCAGTGAACCCTTGTTTGCTGGGTCCATTTGGTAGGTTTGCTTCAGTGAGCAGTGAAAGGGAGAAGTAGATTTGCATCTAATTTTTCTTTTTTTACTCTTTTCAGACTAATTCCTTTCTGAAGGAACTCCTGAGTAGGGATGAGGTGGGGGGGTTGGATTTGGATTTCAGGAAAGGCCTAAATACTGGTATTGGGGATATTTGGGTTTCCTGATACCATTTTGGTATTTGGGTTCTGTTTTGAGGGGGAATTCCAGAATTATTTTGGCTACATTATCCCATATGGGGGACTTGTGGGGGGCTGGAGTGGCTGTTTTTCAACCAAAAAATTTTCATCACAAAAATTAGAAGAGCGCTAGTGTTTCCTGTCCACTGGCAACTTCCCATATTTCAAGCCAAATGAGCCAAGGCATCCAATTTTATGGACTCCTGAACAAGGTGCCCACAGCCACCCTACTTGTTTCCATTGTTTCCTATGAGGAAAAATTCAGAGAAGCCAATAGCCAAACACACAAGAGCAACCTCTGGCCAAAAGCCTCCAAATGCAAACTGAACCAACAATCCCAACAAAACTAACATCAAACCCGAGAATGTCAGCAGAACCAGTTCAAGCAAGGGCTACTCTTGCAGTGTCAACCCAAAGAATCCCAGCAGAATCCAGGGCCAATCTGGCAAGCCCACCAAAACCAATAGCCCTTCATCATTGGCACTCCTATTCCCTCCCACTGCTGTAAAGAAATAAAACAACACCAGTACAGCATGCATGAGCTTAATCTTAGGTGCTTTTATGGGATCTGCTTGTGCTTGTTTTAAATTGAGATACACATCTACTTTCCTAATTATACTTGTGGGGTTTTGTCTTTATGAGACTAGCAAAAACATTTTGGCACTGTATTTATTTTGTGCACAGAAATGCTTTCCCTAACATCTGATCCCATTGTCTGAGAGAGTTGCTTCCCTTCCTCTCTCTGTCTCATTGCCCAGGTGACTTGTACAATTGAAGAAAAACAGGTCTGGGAGCCTTAAAATGCCAGCCCAGAATGTTTTTGGATATTCTTACATACTTCCAGAATTTGTTGGGAATTGATATCTGGTATCCCCAAGAATCCCAGATATTACCCAGATACCCAAATATACTAAAAAAACACACAGATAAAAATATTTGTTGGATATCTATTTGGACCAGAAGTATCTAAATACACATCTCTTGTCAGGATGGAAGGTGGCATGGTGTAGCCTAATCTTGGGTGCTAAACAGGGTCGGTACTTGGAAGGGAGACCACCAAGGAAGACTCTGCAGAGGAAGGCAATGGCAAACCACCTATGCTTCTTACTTGCCTTGAAAGCCCCTTGCTGGGGTTGCCATGTTGGCTGAGACCTGACAGCACTTTACATGCACACCCGTAGTCCTGAGAAAATTTTAATGTTACATAAGTTTGAATGCTTAATCTTATGCTTTGAGATGTGCTAACTTGACATAGCAGGGCTTTAAATCAAATTCAAAGAGAAAGGTCCATATAATTAACGATAACAGTGCACAGAATGAAAGACAAGGCTAATTTTAAAAAATAATTAAAAATTAATGTGGCTAAGTGATAGCCCTTTTAAACTAATGATGAGATAGGTGGTTCAGGGTTTATGAGCTCAGTACACAGGGTGTTGGCATAATGACGAGCTCCTTTTATGACGGGTAGGTTTAAAATGTGCTAGTTGTATTGATAGTTAAATTTCAGGCTGGTAGAAGATTTCCCAGTTTGCTGTTGGTTTGACATGGGCATGTATGGGATTCCTTTCTACTTAAAATAACTTGGGGTAAACCACAGAATGTGGGGCTCTCCTAGAAAGCGTTTCATCTTTCTTTTATCAACACAGTCTGTTGTCAATACAGAGCTGAAGCTGGATAGAGATGTTGGGAGAGTGTTGAAAGAATTGGCATCTACTAAAATAAAACGCAAGTCCAATGGCACCTTAAAGACTAGCAATATTTATTCCAATATTAGCTCTCATGAGCCAGAATGTACTTTTCCTCATATGCAATGAAGAGCAGTTACAGAAGGGGAGCAGGGAAAAAATAGGAGGGGAGCAGAGAGAGGTCTGGGATCATAAATCAGTTGTGATTGTCTGTGTGTAACAGGCTAATCCATTCCAGTCCCTTAGAAAGAAGATGCCTTTTCTTCCCCCTCCCCTTCTGTAACTTCCAATCTGCAACTTGATTAATATGAATAAAATTATTTTCTTTTCATTGTATATCAGTAAGTGAGCCTGATTCATGAAAGCTCATGCTGGAATAAATGTTAGTTTTTAAGGTGCCAATGGACTTCTGTTTTATTTTGCTATAGTAGACATGCCTACCCCTTTGGAACTGTCATCCAGTAGCCTCCCTACATGCTGTATCACCAAATGATACAAGAGAAGCTCAATTCCTGGACAGTGTCATAGCTCATTTCTGTGTGATTGAATGCTTCACTCAGGATCACAACTAGACAGAAAACAACTTATTATCTGTTTCCCATGTGGTCAGCTCTACCATCCACCCCTACATTAAGACACCAGTTAAAGGAAAATTAATCCTTTCTATCTCATAGGTGTTGAAACTGATCTCAGAGTCCAAAATTTTAATCAAAAGTTGTGAAAAGAGACTTTGCTGTCTTGCTTAATTGAATTATATATAGCAGTCCCAGACTATTGTTATGGAATTGTTATGACTGTTACATAAACTTATTAAGGTAATTTAAATTCTCAGTCATATGAAAAGCTGTTTCCAATATTTTAAAGAAGAAAATTGATGGAAAGTTTAACACAGGTGGTGTGATGAAACCATATATATCTTTGTGTAGTATACAATCATACGTTTACGGTGTTCAGCAGAAGGGGAATATTTCCTATCATGTTGGTGATCTGAATATGCACAGTGGATGGAACCTTTATCATAAATTAATAATGGAGCTTTTTAAAGGGCAAAAGATGTAGACTACCAATGATATATTAACTTTGAGAGCAGAAAGTACATAAGCATGAGTATGCAGAAGTTGTGTCACTACTGTAAAGATGATGGTATAGCTTAACAAGTTAGAGAACAATTGGTGCAGATTACAGCCAATGTGCTTCTTTGGCAGGGAAGTCTAGTCCAGTGGGCACTTTAGCTGTTTATCTGTGTAACTTTTAAAAATAGCCTGCTTTGGAAACAAATTACAAAATTACAATTTGCTTGGGATTGAGCTAAAATCAGGGTTCTCTCTACACCTGAAGTTTCAGACCCAGAGTTTACGTCTGTCAGACCTGCACAGAAAATCTCAGCTATGGAGAGGGATAGTCAGTGTCACTTTGATTGAGGGTCGTGAACTCAAGGCCATGGATCCAAATGGACTTAGCGATCCCTATGTGAAATTCCGGCTGGGACATCAGAAGTACAAGAGTAAGGTAACTTTTTTGAATTGCTTCCCTAAGTGTTTTTTTAATGTACACCTAGCGTTTGTGTGATGTTAAGTGGAAACCCTAGAAAACTAATATTTTTCAGACCTTAAGGTTCTTGTTAGATCAATGGGGGGGGGTAATAGAAATTGTAGTAGTTTGTTGCCATAGCTCTAGATCACAATACAGAGAGCTACTATATCAAGGTTTATTCTAGGTATATATATGTCTAGCAAGACTATAGGCCTTTTCTCTTTAAACAGGGGATTTTCCCACAGGCCACATCCTCCCCCAATGCAATTTTGCACACTACTTTTGAAATTCTGAGCATCAAAAGCAGTTTGTCACAAAGCTTTAGTTGAGAACTGGAAGCCCCCAACCCCCACTGAACATTTGGACTTGCTTGTGTTATTCTTTGGACTATATTCCTGGTATCTTAAAGACATGTTTGTATCAAACTCTGGTTTGTGGCCAGGATCCAAAGACTCCTTTAGATATGACCATGGGATTGAGCATGTTCAGTAGAATTTGAGTTTTCCTTTCTTTGAACAGTGGATTTTGCATGTCATTCTACTTTAGAAATAAACAATACTTTCATTCAAAGAGATTGGATATGTGAAACTAGAGCAGAAGAGAGGGTGTTCAAGAAACAGGAGGACAGAACTCTTTGGTTCTTGGCTATTAATTTGTCTCATATGAAATTATTTTTTAGAAATATGTTATTTATATTTTTCACTTCACCATCTGTTTGGTGAGAGCAAACATTTTGCCTTTTTTGTGCTAAAGCAAAAAACAAAACTCTTGGTCCATTACATTCTGGACCTGCTCAGGGTTCCATCATGTGTGGACAAAATTGGAATCTCTCAGGAGTGCAGGATCTCTTCAGTAATTGCTCTGATGTTGTGGGATGCCCTTTCCTAACAGGCAAAAACATGCCAGGTCTTTTGAATGAGACTGGGATTTTACTATTTCTGTTTCTGTTCAGCCTTATTATGTTAAGGCTTTTTATTAGTTCAACAAGATGCTGATGTTGGCCTTTTAAAACTATGTGGTCCTCCCTTGCCATTGAAATCCTGCTTCAGGTTCCATTCTCTCAGGAGACAAAAGTACTACTTGCCAGGCTTGGGTCTTTTGTGTTGGCCCAAGCAATGTGGAAAACATTACCCTAGGAATTCAATTTGTACCCTTCCTTGGCCTCTTTTGGGAAGCAAACAAAAACCATTATTAATCTGCCAGGTGTTTGGAAATTAGTTGGAGGATTTTTTTACTCTGCGGTACTTGATTTGTTTATATAATTCAAGTGGTGTTTGTAAATCAATTTTTTTTTAAAAAAAGTATCTTGTCAGGGTTTTTTGGTGAAAGATGATCTAGAAATAGTGTAAGTGAATAAATTCAACTCATGGCAAGAAAAAGAATTGCAGTTTAAATTATTTTTTTTTAAATTTCATAGATCATTGAATCTAAAAGGTTACATTGCACCTTGTTGTATGGTGACTCTAAGTGACTCTATGACACTAAGACTCATTATGTTTGTACCCCAAGATTCTATGGCCTTCAGATGCCTTAGGTATGGGGAAAATGCACTGGTTTAGTATTGAAGCAGGGTCCTTCAAGCAAAAACTGGAGTTTCCCAAGGTGCTTCCAGGAGGAAGTGTCGTGAGAAAAGTGTGGCTGCACACGTCTGTGAATGCGTTTTTACCCGTGCCACCCCCACTCTCCTCTTGGTTCGTGTGTCCCCTGAGTGTTGCCTCCTTACCAAAGGCAGAGGTGTAAGTTTAAAAACCACTAAGCGCCGGCAGAGACACTCAAAGGTCTCTTCCTAAAATAAAACTTATCTTTATTAAAAGAAAAACATTCAAAGGTTTACCTGGCAAGGTGGCCAGCAAGACGCTATGCCAGCTTGCCAACACAGTACACTCCTGTTTCTTAAATATTGATAGTGAATACACAGACAATAAACATGCAAGCAAAGCCCCCCCCCCAAGCATGCAGAAAAACGAAAGGCCTTTCGGGCTGACTCCAAAAATCTCAGGAGAGTAAAATCCTCTCCTGATCCTTCAAGAGCCCGTGAAGGTCTGTTGAGGCTGACCAGTATTTATACCAAATGATCAAAGAGGTCCCCCAATAATTAGATTACAGTTGTGAATTAACATTTTGAAGTTTTACAGGAGATTGTTTCCCTGCGTCTCACACAACAAAAGTTACATCTTACAGGATCAATACAGTGTTATTGTTTTTTCCTGGTGTTTCCCATCATGGGAAATAAACTGTCCTTTGATGTTATCTCTGAGACAGAGACAGATACATGGATTTTATAAACTATTTGGTTCATTTTTAAACCCAAACCTTCTATATTTCTAAAATTTCTTACCACAGGAAGTAGCCAAATGTCTGAATACAACAGAACTCAAATGTGCAGACAGATTCTGATGCTTTGTGAGTGTAGATCTTAGTTCTGTACCAATTTAAATCAATAGAGGACTTTTTCAGTGGTGTTCATTAAATTCCAAGTCCATGAGAGGGACATCCCAAGCCTTCCATCTTTGTGGCAGGTTTAGAGATATAAAATTTCTGGAAATTTTGATACTGGGGGGGAATCTTTCCTGTTTGTTTGTTTTCAGAAAAAAACCTGAAATTTTGGGAAAATAGAAGTATATCATATCAGAACAAAACTAATATTACTGCTTAAACAACATGCATCATTTATAACTGATTTAGCATATAAAATGCAATATTTGACATAGTTATGGAACGTAAAAGTTATGAATGCCTTAAATATGCCCAATACTTGAGAGAAAACTGCAAACTAATGCACCCTATGCTATTTTAGTTCATGTACCTTATATTTTTGCTGTTTGATTAGAGAGAGCTAGGTTCTCAATGAAACTTTCTGATCTTCTTCGTGGTCTCTGTGGATCACACCTATGGGATTATGCGCCTGCGCTGATCTGAATCGATGGTATACAAAGCTCACAAAGGGATTTTCGCACCTCCCTCCCAGGCATGCGCGGGAACCCCACTGCGTATGCCCAAGGAGGCAGGCACAGACATCCTGCCAGTTCTCTTCTGACCACCGCGCTGTTAACAGTTCATTTTCTGCCGGTCAGTGACGAAGCGTTCTGACCTCTCACGAGGGATCCTTTTGATTGTTCTCACAGTTGTTCTTCTTGGACTCTGTGTTTCACCACTACCTCAGGTGGCCTCCCGCCCAACCTCCCCCCCCTTTTCTCTCCTCCTGATGTAAAAGTTTTTCGTTCGCCTCATCTGAGGAATTGTTTTTTTCTTATTTTTTACTTCTGGCCAATTTGCTTTATTTTATGGCCAAGAAGTGTGGCTGCTTTAAAAGGTGTACCGGTTGTGGCAGTAAACTTGCCCTGAAGGACGGTCATACCCTTTGTATACTGTGTCTTGGGGAGACACATTGTCTGGAGACTTGTCGTCACTGCGCCAAGTTCTCAAACCAAACCCGAAAGAATAGAGCTGCTAGACTCCAAGTGGTGCTTTGGGAATCCATGCTTACCCCCTGCCTTTTGAGGAAATGTCGTCGGAGACTCCTACCGATGCCCATCCTCTGGCATCTCCGATGATATCGGAGTCCTTGACACCGGCCTTACCAGCTTGTCCGAAGTCGACGTCTGCTGTGAGTACGCCTTCCAAGCATTCAGCTCCTAAGGACGCTTCTTCTGCCTCATACCAGCAAAAAAGAAGAAGGAGCATGAGAAGGTGAAGAAATCTGATCCCAAAAAAGCTGCGCATAAGTCTCCCACTCTGAGCAGTGCTGGGAAACACGCTGGCTCTGCATTACCCCCTCTCCAGTGGGCGCACCCTGATGTCATTTTTTTCCGATACTGGAGCTGATCGTCCCTCCACCAATTGTGCTGCTGGACTCCCCTGCATGACAGCTGAACCCCCCGGTATCAGAGCTTTCTGCGCCCCAAGTCGCCAGTGGAAGTGCTGGTGATCCCAGACCGACCGTCGCGAGATAGGTCATCATCATTTGTATCGTGGTCAGGAGGTCGTTCTAGGGATGTTTTCCCCTATCCTACCAGATCTCCGAGGTGGGAAGAACGTCGATCCAGGTCCCGTGGACGTACGGACCATCGTTCCAGCTCCCCCAGGTGTGGAGAACATCGATCCAGCTCCCCTCGACGTGGAGAGTCTCGGTATCGGTCTGAAGATTCCCATCACTCTAGACTGAGATTTTCTTATTTGCCCAGGAGAGAGTCAAGACCACATTCTCCGACGTACCTAGAGCCTCCTTTTCCGCCTCATTGGGGCCATAGGCAACATATGCCAGTTTGGTTCTCATCATACCCAATGTCGACGTCGATGCCATGGATGACACTGCGTCCACAATCTGATTGGGACCACTCTCGCTCTCCCCAGTGAAGATCCAAACCATCGGCCGATACTGAGCACTCAGGTACAAGTCAAGACCGTGCCCTCACTTCTGATGCCGGGATCATTGTCGGGATCCTCAGACTCGGATTCTGACACTGAAGCTTCAGAGCGGCCAAAATCCCCTGCAGGGGATTCACCAAATCAAGCGGTAACTGATAACCTGCCCATCCTCCCCTTCAGTGGACCTCTCCCTGTATGGGATCTAATAAAGCTGATGGCTCTTTCACTTCGGCTATTGATTGTGCAACATCAACCATCCATGTCAGATGTGGTGTTCAATGTGGTACAATTGTGATACAATTGGAGCGGTGGCGCAGGTGATTAACACCTGCAAAGTGTACCTATCTCGAACTGCTGTCTGGCTGTTTGAATCCCACCGCGGTCGGGTGAGCTCCCGACCTTAGTCCCAGCTTCCGCCAACCCAGCTGTTCGAAAGCCCTATATGGCAAGTAGATAAATGGGTACCTGGCCTTAGTCGGTCAAGGGGGTACCCTCCCCTAGAAGAAGTGGAAGAACTGTAGCTCCAGAGAGAAAATAGCAGCACCGGTAACAACAATGGCAGCGAAACAGCGGCAGAAGCAGCGGCGAAGGGACGGCCCCCTGGAACA